GAGGTCTCAGCAGTGGGCAGCCTTCCGGGCCATCCTTCCTTGGAATCGAGGAAGTTTCAGCCTCCCATCTGCAAAACCCAGAAGCAAAGTCTCCACTGCCTCCTAGGAATCCTCAGAAATCTATCATCCTCTACAGCTAGAGGCCATTTGCAGCTTTTTGCCCTCTTCTTGAATGTGGACTGTCACTTTTTTCCCCGACAGGATACATGAGATTGTGTCTAGACAGTCTCACTGGGGAGCAGGGTGGATATCGCCCCAAGGGGGCAAAAATTGGATCTTTGGCAGGTGAAAAAAGTCTTAGCTATGACAGTGGTTTGTGGCCTTCTAAAGGGGCATGGTACACGGACAGCTCTGTAGTACACCTGAGGTGCTAAAATGTCACGGGAGGGGAGGACAGTTATGGGGGAACAATGTCTAAAGCTCCTTAGGAGAGAGAAAATGGTGGGGGGGGGGGGCGGGTAGAAAAACAATGACCTGCAAGCTCCCACTCAGGCGAAGCTGTGAAAGTATTTTGGATGCAGCATGTCAGGTTGTGAAATACCAACAATCCACATCACTGGGGGAGCCCTGTGGAAAGAAGAACGTGACCAAGAGAATGTCCCCTCAAGGACCAACACACACAGGGCCTCCCTTCTATTTATGAAGAGAAGAGCGAGTGGCAAAGACTGGACAGGGGCTCAAATTAACAGCCGGGCCGGCCCGGCCCAGAGGCCACTTCTGAGCTAAGGCCCCTAGTCTAGGGCCTGTGGGGCCTGTGGCCAAAGCGAGACCTTGCCCTGTCCCTGAACGCCTGCCTGTCTCCTGGGTCACGGAAATAGGTCCTTTCTCATACCTCTGATGGCATTAGACTCTCCTGAACCAAACAGTTGACTCTAAACCTTTTGCAGTAATTATAGGAGAAGACTCCAAGGGGGCTCAGAACAGGCCAGGGCACCTGTATAAGCACAATTTTAAAACTTTGGTCTCAGGGAAGGAACACCCTGGCTCAGGGAAGGGACATTCCTAAAGAGGCCAGAAAATCTATTTCCAGTGTTGGAGGAGACTTTCTACAGTGGGGCTCTTCGGATGCCTTCTCCCAGATATTCTCAAGTATCCTGGGAAGATGTTCAAACGGGATAAGGAGAAAGAGAAGCAACCACTCTTGGGAAAAGTTTTGTAAGTCTCGTGTCTCGTTGTTCTACATGAATGTCGTTATGTTCTATTAAAAAAAAAAAAAAGTACTGTTTTTAAAACTCTTTCTGTAGAACCAAAGTGTGATGATTGGAACTTTGGCCCTTCTGGTTTTCAGAATCCCATAAACAGTGTCCTCAAGTCAACCCACTGTCACCATTTGGGGAGAGTCGACTTAAGTCTTTCCACAAAGAAAGTAAAATTACACTTGGTGTGAAGTAAATAGAACCAAGATTTCTATCACTGAGATGTCAACCGAGCATGAGTCTACATCAGCTGGTTCTAAAGACTTTGATCTGGAATTTGGATGTGGTTGTTTCCTTCCCCCAAAGATATCCCACCGTCCATAACTGTTCAAGGTGACGGAAAAGTCAGGAAACTTAGGATAAACGTGTTTGTTTTTTGTTTTTAGTGTTCATGGAAGGGTTGGGGACACGTGGGTGTGGCAACAGTGTCTGGGGGGTCAGTGGGTATTTGTGGAGCCAGTTGGGGGTGCGTGCTCAGAGGTGGTGGGAGTGTTGGTGTGAGGGCTGTAAGGGGACGTTCGTGTGTGTGCCTGTGCACGTACGGGAGGGCAGTGATGTGGGTGTGGGTCTGTGGGGGGTGTGCCAGGACAAACTTAAAATTGGTTGCATTAAAAAAAAAATGCTCCATACGTTTTCAGGCCAAGAACTCTAATGGATCTAATTGTTAAGCTGAAACATGACCATAAATACCTTCTAAAGTGTATTTAGACCCAAAAGTCTTGAAACCAAAAGGAATGTATTTGTGGCATTTTCCAGATTAACCATGGAGGTACTGCTTACACTTTAGAGGCACACTGCGTGAGAAGGATATCAGACCTAAAGACTGAAAGAAAAGCAAATTGAGCAGAGTATCATAAAATGTGAACTGAAATGTGAACTGACATACTACTTAAAAATATGTTTATTCCGGGTTCCTGATTTTTGAGGATGCCCTCTCTGTTACACACAAACTATAAGATCCAGAATTTCTTGAGGGCTTTCTGTACATGGAATCCTATTAGCTGCTTTGTCTATGTTATTTAATCTTTGTTCAAGAACCTCTGGGTTCAGAGGTAATACCCTAGCCAGTGGATTAAGAAACTGAGGGTCACAGAAGGGGTAGTAAACTCGAATGCCAACAGAGATGATGTAAATGATTAAAATAAAGGTCACTGCCCTCTAAAGAATGATCAGTTCAAGCCAGTTGTTGCTGGGTAGGAATTCAGGCCTAGTTTTGCCAGATTGATCCATTTTTCCAGAGAAGCCAGAACTCTGGATTTGTGCCGAATCTTCTGATTTTTAGATGTTAGTAACTGA